CAGGAACCAGTGCCTGAGAAGGGGGAAACACCCCATACCCCAGCTTTGCTGCTAAAGAAGTCTGTCCCCTTAGGAAGACAGTTTGGTGCTTTATTAGTCTTAAATCTGGCAGGTAATGGGCAACATACGTCCTGGTGCAGCATTCAGCTCACTGAAGTGGAGATCAATCATTATTAGTGTTTTGTGTGCCACTGCATTAAAATGGGATGAATAAAATTAATTACCCCTAAAATGCGACCTTCCCCAGAGAAGGCTGTAACTTCACAGCCTGTAACTGGTACTTTATTCAGAGAGATTTTACTCAAGCATCAAACACACAGAGAGACATGCAACCTTCGAAACAGTAAGAACAAAAAAATGAGACCCACAGTGTAGCATTATTCTCTGCTTTCATAGATGGGTAAAACTGCAAGAAAAGGAACCCAAACCTTTTTCTCAGTCATTCCTGTTACATTTTCTTACAGAAGAAGTCTATTTAATACCCCAGCCTCATCACAATAAGACCAAAACCTCACATGATTTTAGCGTAAAATTGAACATATCCCTTAATCTCTAAACAATAAAAGCGGGAAGCAGCCTTTGTTTCAGGGAAGTAATTAAGCCAAATTAATAGAGAGCTGGTCTGCGACTCCGGTGACAGGGAGGTCTCTTCATTGCCCTCTCACAGGCTTTGGGGCTGCTTTAAATCCCTTCACCCCTCTCTGCTTCAGTCTCACAATTTTCCAGGCAGGAACAGAGCCAACTTTAAGCCTAGGCCACCGATGCCCCTTCGTAAAGGCCTCTTGCTTGAATAACCACTCAGCAGGAGAAAGGATGCATTTCTTTTCTGAGATTTTGAAATGGTACTAAAAAGAACAGTTTAAGTGCTGCACATAAATAGTGTTTAAAATGAGGTAAATAATTTGATAATTTCAAGGAAGATAAAATAATTGCCTTAGTTTTCACAACTTCCTGCAAGTGCTTTTTTCTCTCATGCATGCTTTGCTTGATTTTGCAGAGCATGTGTAATTGCAAGACTTGAATCTGAAGGAGGCAAACGAAACTCTTTATAGCATTTTCAGACTACTCATAAAAGCACTGTGTTTAAGCTAGGAATAATTTATTGTTTTTATTGCTGGTATTGTTATTAGCTTCTAAAGTTAAAGATAGCCCACATCAGCCTGTAAAAAAAAAATATAATTAAGCACCCCAGAAATAACAGTGACTATCTGCTTCATTTTCTTTGGCTACAAAAGCCAGAATTTCTGTTCTCAGTCATCCAAGGCATGTGATAGGAGTATATCCTACAATGCAAACCCATGGGAAAAAACGAATAAGGAAGAAAGGTCCCCATTTTATCCAATACCTTTCTCCTATTTCCATAACATTTTCCTTTGCCCTTTTAGAACCCTTTTTCCTTAAAAAAAAAAAAAATAAATCTATCTTTCCACGTACTCCTCCTTCTTAGCTCATGGTTGTACAGCCTGACTGTAGGGCAGGACCAGTGAATCATAATAGCAAATGTCAACAGGAAAAGATCTCCAATAGCCCATTAGCTGTTTGAGTTCATATTTATTATTTACTGAGTGACTGTGAATAATGAACAAATTGCACTAAATCATTACAGATTTGTGGCTTAATCTCTATTAAAAAGGGAAAATTGGTCAAAGCAATTACAGAATTTATTTGCAAGGAAAAAATGCCTTCTTCTCATTTGTATATAGAGTAGACAAAGCACCAGCAAGAGGAATAGAGGTAATCAGTGCATATCATTTAGGGATGCAAAAAATGGAAACTCTGAAATGACAGAAAACTGAAATAAATTCTCAGAAAATGTTTCCATGGAGTTATGTGCCATAATCTATGTGGATTACACTTGTATGAGCATCAGCGAGTTAGATGACATTGGAGGCTGTCACCCCGTGTTGTGCTTGTGGTTGGTATTTGAAGGAGTAAATTAGGTTAGGTAAATCCCATTCTAGTTTAAAAAGGCTAGTCTTTGGACTGTCATGCCTAATTTTTGCACAAGTTTGGGGCATCAGTGCCACTGATGCAAAAAGGGTGCAAGTTTGGCAATTTAGGCTTGTCTTCCTAAAGGTAAACGAGAATGTTGCAGCTATTATACAAGTGGACAGAGGAATCACAGGCTCTACAGTTGAAGAAAAATCCCAATTCCTACCATGCAGATTGTGTAGCAAACAACAAAAGGAACCTGTCCTAAAATAGAAGAGTATCTAAATGTTTTTCTGTTGACTTTGTGGAGCACATGTGGTGACGCCTCTTCATGCCTTTACTTGAGCAGTTCTCTAAATCAGATTCCATTTTAGGGTAGTCTCAAAGGTTGTGTAAGAGCAAATTGTGGTTTTATGCTTCCTACTTAAAGAAAATCTGTGGTATCAGGAGTCATGTTATCAGACATTATCCAAAATCTTATACCTGTTAAAAAGTCATGCTCAGCATTGTATTTAATTAGCTCTAAATTCTTTTTATCATAGCAAAGTCAAGAGCTTTCCAAGTTAATGTGGCTATTTGAGTATTTTTATGCAAGAGCCTATTAACACTGTAATGTTTTTTTACAAAAACATGCTATAACTAAAGCTCACGATGGAATTTGTAATATTCAATGACTTCATTTTATTCTGTTTTGCTCACTCTAAGCTAATGCATATGATGCTGTATGAAATTCTCAGACAAGCCTGTCTGCAGGACTTATGGGAGCCATAAATGGATTAAACCTCTCACTCCCTGCTTTGGCAAGTGATCAGTTACATTTAAATAAAGGTCAGTCTGTCTTTACAAAGAGCACACTGAAAGCAAGCTTAATAGCTTTCCCTACCGGGCCTAGAACACAACTATTTGAAGCATAATTAGCAACAGGGTGCCAGTCACTGATCATGCTTTTTCACTTGATTTTACATCTGGGGACTTCCAATATTCCCCATTAGCTTTAAGAGGGGGCATGGTGCTAGTTATCAAATTGACAGTCTTGACCTGGCCTCTGAAAGCAGCTGTAAAACATTGCTTGGGAAAGTTAAGATAAATGCCAAATGCCATACCAAAACCGGGACTGTAATATTGCTACAAATTGGACATTCGTGGTCCATGTCATGATTCCAAATGACAACGCAGGTAAGATATCTAATCTACATGAGAGCACAGACTTTGTTATTCTAAATACCAGATGACTGTGATAAGGAGACACACCAGCTGTCCTATTATCTCATCTTACGAGCTCTGTGTTTTGAATTCTTTATAAAATACCCCATATCTATTTTTTTTCAGCATTAACAGACTGACCAGCTCTGCCATCTGTTAAAATATAGATAGGATATTCCTTGCAGGAAGGGTGGAGTAAATCAGCTACAGCTTCCAGTACAGTAAAAGGTACTGACCACAGAAGCATTATTTTCGCAAGTTAATTAAATATTTAGCCTACATGATATATTTAAGAATAAACGTCATCATAGAATCACAGAATGGCTTGTGTTGGAAGGGACCTAAAAGATCATCTAGTTCCAGCCCCCCTAACATATCCTCTGTTTTCTGGTTCTTCGCAATGCCTCATTAGTTTGGGGGTTTCTTGACTGATATTGTGGCAAAAGTGATAATCAGAGAGAACAGAGCTAACAGAGCAATTTCAGTACTCTGCAGACAGCCTGAAATTCTAAGAGATCTGTGAATTACCTTGACCTGCCTGATGAGCATCAGCCTCAAAAGTCCAGTGATTGCACTTTAGGGTCATCTGCAACTAATTTAGCATTTATAATTTTATCTAATGTTATCAGGGAATGGGTAAGAGCAAAACACTGTGGACTCGCTTTTGGGAATTTCTGGAGATAATGCAAGAGCAGACCAGAGAGGTAGCAAGGGGACAGCAAAAACAGCAAAAGAATAAGGAGGAGTAATTAAAAGACAGTAAAAAAGATGGGATTAGATGGAAAGGAACTATTAAGAAAAAATGAACATGATGTGAATTACTATGGGAAAATAGTAGTGTCTTACATTTTAGGTGTGATGCAAAGACTGTACTTTTTTGTTCTTCTCTGTGTAAAATATCAAACTAGTTTTATCTCAGCCACTCTCACCTTATAGCTGGTCGATGGCTGCCTTCCCAGCTCAGGTCCGCTATGAGAGAGCAGAGGTCTGTGTCCTCTAAATGCGCCTTGGTTATCAGTCACAAAATAGAAACTGTAACAGGAAGATGAGCAACCAGGGATTAAGATAAGCCCATGTACTTTTACCTGCACTTTGGGGTTAAACACAGGATTCTAGGTCTGCAGGTCCATCTCCTTTCATGACTGCTATATCTGTTTTAAGAGTTAATTACAAAGTGTAGGAACTGCCAAGAAAAATAGAGCTGTATTTGGTTTTACAAACCCTTAAATATAGTAAAGTAAGAAGACTAATGCCTTAAGCACTTCCATATCAGTTCTACCATTCTGCATCTTTAAAATAAATTTGTGCTTTTTTAGCATATTCTGTTTCTAGGATTTCTTTTTCCTGACGGAAAATTTGTTTAGGAGGTGGAAAAATCAGTGGCTGATTTAACTGACAATTTTCAGTTTATATGGAAATTTTATTTTTTACAGATTTTCCACAAAACAGCCAACTAATGCTCTGCTTCCAGCATAAGGCACTTCAAGGTTGTATTTCTTTGTTTTCACCACAGGCCATATCCCATCACCAGGAAAAACTAATTTCAAAGCATCTTCCGTCGCAGGCTCACCAAAATAATGAAGTGAAACAGCCAATCAGAAAAAAAATCCTTTTTCTTTAATCCATCAACCCTGCGCCAGCAATGCAGAACTCTCCTCAAGCTCTGGCATTAAGGTTTGCTAGTCAGGTGGCAAATGCACTCCTGTGGCTTAGACCTCCATAATAATATCTCTCTTCTGCAGGACGTTTGCTTCAAGCACTGGTAACAGCCAGCTGTGTCTCCTTTGAGTCTTTTAGCATGTCTGCGTTATGTTTTTCCACGTTGATTTGAGTACTTTAAACACCCGCTTTGTTCTCTATTGTAGGTCATGGTTTATATGGGACTTTTGAAATGTTGTCCTCCTGGAGGAAGACTAGAGAAGACCAACACGTTAAAGAGAGGACTGCAGCTGTATTTGCAGACTCCATGCTCTCGTTTTCTCTCACCACTGCCATGTACCTGGTCACTTTTGGAATAGGTGCCAGTCCCTTCACTAACATTGAAGCAGCCAGGATTTTCTGCTGCAATTCCTGTATTGCAATTTTCTTCAACTACCTCTATGTACTCTCCTTTTATGGTTCCAGCCTGGTGTTTACTGGCTACATAGAAAACAACTACCAGCATAGTATCTTCTGCAGAAAGGTACCAAAGCCAGAGGTATTGCAAGAGAAGCCTGCATGGTATAGGTTTCTTCTGACAGCTAAATTCAGCGAGGACACAGATGATTCAGAGGAAACAAACACTTACGAGAGTCATCTTTTGGTGTGGTTCCTGAAACGATATTATTGTGACTGGATAACAAACACTTATGTCAAGCCTTTTGTAGTTCTCTTTTACCTTGTTTATATTTCCTTTGCCTTAATGGGCTACCTGCAGGTCAGTGAAGGGTCAGACCTGAGCAACATCGTAGCGACTGCGACACGGACTATTGAGTATACAACTGCCCAGCAGAAGTATTTCAGTAACTACAGCCCAGTGATTGGGTTCTACATTTATGAGTCGATTGAGTACTGGAATACCAGTGTCCAAGAGGATGTACTGGAGTATACCAAGGGCTTTGTGAGGATATCTTGGTTTGAAAGCTACTTAAATTACCTTAGGAAACTCAACATATCCACTGGGTTGCCCAAGAAGAACTTCACTGATATGTTGAGGAACAACTTCCTGAAGACCCCTCAGTTTGCCCATTTTTCAGAGGATATCATCTTTTCCAAGAAATACAACAATGAAGTTGATGTCGTGGCATCCAGGATGTTCTTGGTGGCCAAGACAATGGAAACTAAGAGGGAAGAACTTTATGACCTCTTGGAGACCCTGAGGAAGCTCTCTCTCACCTCCAAGGTGAAATTCATTGTTTTCAATCCATCATTTGTGTACATGGATCGTTATGCTTCTTCAGTGGGAGCACCCTTACAAAACTCCTGCATTAGTGCTTTATTTCTGCTCTTCTTCTCTGCATTCCTCGTGGCAGACTCTCTGATCAATGTCTGGCTCACTCTAACTGTTGCCTCAGTTGAATTTGGAGTTATAGGTTTTATGACCTTGTGGAAAGTGGAACTAGATTGTATTTCTGTGTTGTGCTTAATTTACGGAATTAATTACACAATTGACAACTGTGCTCCACTGTTATCAACCTTTGTCCTGGGCAAAGAGTTCACAAGAACTAAATGGGTGAAAAATGCCCTGGAAGTGCATGGGGTAGCTATTTTGCAGAGCTACCTCTGCTATATTGTTGGTCTGATTCCTCTTGCAGCTGTGCCTTCAAATCTGACCCGTACACTGTTCAGGTGCTTGTTTTTGATAGCATTAGTCACCTTCTTTCACTGCTTTGCCATTTTACCTGTGATACTGACTTTCCTGCCACCATCCAAAAAGAAGAGGAAAGAGAAGAAGAATCCTGAAAACCGTGAGGAAATAGAGTGTGTTGAAATGGTGGATATGGATAGCACCCGAGTGGTTGACCAAATTACAACAGTCTAACTTGTTTGTTTGTTGCTTTTTTTACACTAGGTCTTACTGAGGAAAAAGAGGAAAAAAAAAAATAAGAAGAAAGAAACCAGTAGTGACTAAATATCTGAGGACAGGAAGGGGTTTGGATGTTTTCCTTCTCCCCACCCCCACCCCAAGCTAAATCCAGGAATATTCAAAATGATGGGAGAAATTAGAATTTATTTTTTTTTTTAAAGAGCTGGGGGGATTGTACCTTGCTCAGCTCCTGTAACAGGTATTACGAGAGAATTTGCACACACATGCAAGGGGGGGGGGGGGTTGAATTTCAGACACATGAAGTAAGATCTAATGAGAGAAGTTGGGTTCTTAAGCAGCTCTCTGCGTGGTCTGTACTGCAGATGCTGCAATTATTGTGGCTAAACCCAATCAGACTGAAAGGTCAACTGTCAAGGCTGAAGTAGCACTAAATGTTCGCTGGATGTAAAGGCTTTACAAACTTTCTGCACAGCAATAACTCAAGTCAGTGAGTCAGCTCTTATAGGTCTTAGCCATCACATTTAATTTTTCTTTTCTCCCCTAATTTAAACATTTATGCAAGACTGTGTAAAAGATAGCAAACTGTACTGGGAAAGAAGGCACAGCAACCAAATGCTTTCCAAACACTTTCATGTTAAAAATCACATTTTTCTCCCAAAAATAACATTATTTGAAAATGTAAATCATCCCTTGTAACATTTTTAATCATGGTTTTATAGTGGTTTCTTTTTCTTATAAAACCAAAAAAGAACAAAAAAAGAAAAAGAAAAAAAATCCCAGTGGCTCTGTCACTCTAGGAAAATATGTAACTTTATTTTATACATGTCTCGCTACTAGTTAAACATGTAATCTGCTTTACCAACTGTAATTTTGTTAGCACTCTACTAACACATGAGTGTATCTAGCAGCAGACAGAAGATGGTGTACTGAATATTTCAGCACCGACATCCATGACAAAAACCTCAAATATTAAAATGTCATCAAGAAAGTGAATGTTAGGGCTCTTCTAGTGAGAGCCTGTTTCAGGCCATTCACTGGTAATGCACACTAAGAGGATTAGTGGGTAGTTTTGCATAATGTATAACTTAATCCCTCTATCTTCCTAGTACCTGTAAAGCAATAGACCTTGCAGCTATGGGCTCTTCCAAAAGACAGTCGACCATCAGAGTTGTATGGAAAACACCCAAGGTTAGGACTGCAGTTTAGCAGCTGTTTAGCACAAGTTTAACAACGTCTCCAAAGAGCCCATATCTAAGGGGCCTATTGAAAACACCACATCTGAGAGAAGGAAAAAAAAACAAACAAACAAACCAAAATTATAAATATTGCATTACTGAATCTTTTTGGAGCCGTGAGTTCTAAACCAATAATTCTGTCAGCATCTGTGATGTGGAGTAATACAGATAAAGCAGCATCTCGTTCCTCCTCTACCCCCTTCACCCTTAAGAGCAACAGGTTCATTACACTAAGGTTTTATCATGAGGTTGAACCCCAGTGGGGTTATAGAAGCCAATTCTGTAGGTTTTGCTGAGAGTACTCCAACTATACATTGCTTGTCAAAACCCATTTGCAGAAAGCTGGCTGGTGTCTCATGAATATACAATGTATGGACCATTGCTTTTTGGTTCAAGATGAATGTATTGCAACCTGACTCCTTTTTACAGCTCACCCAGAAAATAAGAGCACTGGAAAAGTTTTCAGCAGTTGACACAGTGTTTGCCTCAATAACAGCATCTGGAGCGTAAAGGGATAATTCAGGAGCAATGGGGCTCGGACCTGTGGGAGTGCTATAACTCAGGAGGCTGCCTGTTCCCCATGCAGTGGTTAGTACATACCACAGGGTCACAAGCCCAGGGTATGCTTCATTGTATGAAACTTCTTTTTAGCATCCAATCCCAGTGATCCCCCAAAACACACGGTGCAAAACCCACAAATGCCACCTAGTGAATATTCATTTTCAAGCAAAGAGATACTTCTGAAGCTTCCTCCCTAGCAGAAAATAAGATAACCAGATATTTTGTCCTGAAGCAACATGTTACGCACTGGTTAGCAAAACAAGTCGGCGGTGCAGCTGGCAACGTTTATTTTCCCCTGGATAATACCCTTCTCTGACCAGAAGGAAAGGAAGCTGTGTCCAGGAACGCACAGGCTGTTTGCTTGAACAAACAACGTTTGCTGCTGGGAAGCTGTAATAACTTCAGCCTTGTCAGAAAACAGGCGGACACCTTGAACACAGCCAAATGAAGTTGAGGCTACAGGAAAGATCTGTTTCCCCTGTTTTCTTTAGACTCAGGCCTGGGCCTACGTTTTCCAGCCAAAAATCTTTCCTTAAATAATACTTCACTGCAGATTTTATGTTATGGTTATTATGTCATTTGAATAACAGTCACCTTATCTCCTGGCTGTCAACAGGCAGCTGCAGTGGCTTTTAAACTTCTGAGGGCATTAGCAAATTAGTTGAGAGTTACAGAGGAATCACAAAACGCTTTTGGCAGCAGCAATCTACTGGCTTGTGGGACAGGTGGAACTAGGAGATGTGTGAAAGAGGTTGTTTGTACACTGCAGAGAAGAATACATGGCTAATGCTGATTTTACACCTCTGCTATCCCTGATGCTATCACTTGCAAACAACAGACCCAAAGATGGCTACCATAAACCTCTTTACGTCTAATTGAAATGCATAGATAGGAGCATCTTGAAAGAGATGTCCAAAGACAAGCTTGTAGTTTCACAGATCTCATTAAATCTCAGCATGTGAGGCCTTCAGAGATCTTCAGAGAAAGGTGATAAAACCAATGATAAAGTTACTTCTCTATCTCCAAACCTGTCACAAAAAGGATGTGGAGGCACTCCTATGGCAAATTGCCACAGGGCGTGCCTGGGAGTCCACAGAAGACAGGGTGAGCAGACATGCAGCCCATTTCCTTTCCCCCAGGCAGAGCATGACATGTAAATCCTTTCTGAAGAATGCTTGTCCACCCCGTTCCTAAAAATCTTTAAAGGCAGATTCCTCCCCCCAGTGCCATGTTACCCCATTGGTAACTAGTAACTCCTGCTGTTTGTCTTGTACTGGAACGGGGAAGACAAGCTGTGCCTCTGCGCAGAGTGCAACAGGACAGGCAGGAGGCAGTCTGTGAAGCTTCCCCTAAGCAGAGCCAAAAACAACAACCATACGTTTTTCACTGTGTTTCACCTCAAGCTGCCAGCCTACTCCCCACCTCCAGGCTTAGTGAGGTAAAGCCATGAAAATGGCCAGACGTAGTACTCAGCCCAGATCTGTTTGATTTCTGCCTGAATCCTGATGTACCTGAGCGATGCACCAAATACTCCTTCTTTACAGGAGAGGCTTGAATACCTCAACACAAACCAGAAACGGCATGTTCTCAAGGTTTCAGACTATGCTAAGCCACTTTGGCCTTCCTCCTCTTTGACTTTTTCCCCTAGAGCTATTATCTTCACCAAAGTCAATTGGTCCTCACCGCGCCAATTGATTAATAGGTGCAGATACTGTGCTCTGTTTCAGTCCAAAGCTACCCCAGTGGCTAACTGTGCATAAGATTTTATCCTTACTGGTGAACCTTCATTTTGGAAGACTACCTAGGCTTAAACAGTTTTTTTGTCATACTCTTAAGTGGCTTTTTAGCCCAGGTATCACTGTGGTTTTATTTGCAATACAGATGACCCAATTTTTGTATAAATTCAGAGAGTAGAACAGAGTATTATACACTGTCAGGCACTGATTAAAATGTAACAGCAAAAGTTTAAGCTAAGGCTAACAAGACTGTATGGGACTGTGGCTCACTGGCCACATGTATCTTCTACAAACATTACAGTTTCCATACAGTAAGATATAGTGTACAGTATATTTTTACTATGGGGTAAGCATAGGGAAAAAAAAAGAACAGCCTAAGTGCATATGATCATCAAGATCAGTCCAGTTTTCTTGTAACGTAATTCCTAATGTTGTCTTAGCACAAGTTCATTTTCGATTTACAAGTATTCTAATTGGAGGAAAAAATGAATAGAGAAAAGTTGGTATAACTGGAATAACTGTGCTATAAAAATTAATTTATGAAGCCAGAATTTTCTGCCCAAAGCTTTACATGAAAGTGTTCTAGTTAGATTAAAATGAGAACTGTGAAGGCTGAGAAAAAGCTATCTGGCAAAGAAAAAGAACTTTTTTTCCAAAGACAAGCAAACACATTTATCATGGTCAATTGCATGAACCTGGAGAGAAAACAGTACCTGAGGTTACATTGAGCCACGTGAGGATTCACATCTCCTCTCAGAAGCTTTCTGAGCCAGCACTGAATTCAGGTAAAATGTGTACTATAAATTGAAAGGTGCACTTTTAAATGCTCTTCTCTAGGCTGACTGTCCTATGAGCTTCCAGATCCCACCTCAGCCAACATCTTGTTTATTTTTATTCCAAGAGAAAAACAAACCAGAGTGGCAGCACAACTGGGCAGAGTTCAGTCGAGTCAGAAGGAAGACTATGCCTTCCCTTGAAAACAGTGAGAAAGACAGAAACAGCTCTTTAGCAAGTGGGCTTTGTGGGAGAACTGATTGCTTCAAAAATTAGCAAACTGGTGTTTGCTTAATTGTTAACTTTTGAAGCAGATAGTATGTTCAAGGAGGTGCAGGGAAGCAAAGCAGGGTTAACAGGAGTTAGCCTGGAGTTCACTATAGACCCCCAATTACATTAGCTACTCTTGTGTGCCTGGGGGTGCAGAGGGGCAGGGACAGCTCTGTTTTGTGGGCATGGGAGATGCCTGACCAGCCGCTGCGACAGGGTCATTTCCCATGTCCCTGTCCCACAGTCCAGCCTGGCAGCTCTCAGGGCATGCACAGCCAGCAGCATGCAGGTGCTCCCATGCGCACACAGGTAGCTCCTCATGTGCCTCATGTTACGACAGTGCTGCTGGGTTTTGCTGAGCCAGAACATGCATGATAAGGCACAGGCTCCATGGGAAGACACTTTCTGGAAGACCCTGGTTAGAAAGGATTACTCACAGCTTTCTCCCCTCCACCCCGGCCTCTATGGGTGTTAAAACCCCGAGACATACAAATCAAGTTGTACAATTAGCTATGTAGGGGCAAAGTATTTCTTCCCTGCATTTATCACTAAAACTACTTGTCATTTATTTTCTTATAAATATTTAGAAATAAGTAAGCCTTCCTGGTGTACACGCAAGTGCGATGAGAACAGGGCATGGAAGGAAGAGAGCCCCTTCTCCTCCCCAAAGGTGGGCAGTATCTTCCACCCATAGGCCAGGCACCACACCATCACTGCAGGGCACCCCCAGGGGTCCCAGCCCAGTGCAGGTGCAGGGAAACCTTATCTCCCTTCACCCCCTCCCCAGTCTCATTAGAGAACAGGGAGGAGCTCCTCTAGCTCCAAACTGTGGGGGTGTTTAGAGAAAGACATGGCAAAAGCATCCCGGGAAGGAATTCAAACACATATTCCTCCCCATGGTACATAGGCTGGGGCAGAGCAGCATGCCCAGCATGCCACCACTCACCTTATCGTGGTCCTGGCACAGCTTCCTGCCTAGAGAGAGGGCACCTCAGCATCACCTGTGGCTGCCCGGGGCAGCCGCTTCTCAGGCAAGAGATGGTCTGATGTCATTGGCGTTCTGCAAGTCATCATCCTTTTTTAATTTGAATAAAGGAAAAAAAATCAGCATAAATAATTCTAAATTATTTAAAATCCAAGAAGTCTTAATCTGTGCGTCAAATAAATGGCTTGCAAGATGTCAGGGGTTTTTGTTTGGGATTTTTTAACCTATTTTTACTATTTTTGTATTAATTTAGGAAAAAAAAATTGTATAATGAATCTCAATGTATAGCATAAGCCTAAAATAAAATGGCTGTCTCTCTCTTTGCTTCTTGTGCTCCCAAACTGCTATACAAGTCCCATGCCATCACCACCCTAACAAACTGATTTGCCTGGCCTAATCCAAATAATCACTCTGTGCACCCTTTCCAACATCAGAGAGGGGTGGTGGAGCAGCTCAGGGGGAGCAGCAGCATCCCGAAGACAAAGGGTGCCCTTCTTCTTCAGTACTCCCTGTTGTCCTGGGCTGCATAATGCTCAGCAGCAAGCACAGGGAAAATGCATTCACTTCACATCTGTTCATTTCCATGTCAGTGGGATCCAAACCCTTTTTGCAGGTTGTTCCTAGCTAATCCATCTAGGAAACTCAACCTAAGCAGGCGACCAACATATAAGGTAAAATCTCAAACGGATTTGATCAAAAATTTAGGGTTATCTGCTCAAACAAGAACTAGACCTACTGAGATCTGGTAGGTAGACCTGAAGTATTACTATTAAACAGAATTCTTACTATTAAAAGTTTTCATATCAACACCTTAGCATCCACAAACTTAGGAAGCCACATTATCACTGAAAGACCCACCCCCTTGCTTCCCAGCAGAACCACAGCTGCTGGCCCAGGATCTTCCCATAACAGTGATATATCATACTTTTCCCACATCCAGGTAGACCACCCTTTTACACCTTTTTGTCATATTTTGGAGGAGAGCAGCAACCCTGAACCAACTGGTTCAATGAAGAAGCAAACCACCATGGCTAGAGCTAAGGGTGATATTTGCAGATGCTCTGTTACACCTGGTTGCAGCAATTAAATAAGAAGCAGTTTACTGTAAAAAGCAGGTGAGCCAGACCAAAACCCAGTCACTGCAAACAGCAGCAGGCCTGAGAACTAATGGGCTTCTGCCTGCCAAGGGCTTTTGGCCGCTTTAGTTTAGTGGGAAGTTTGGGTCTGCAATCTAAAGGTGACTCCTATCACCTGTTACAGGTCCTGGTTTTGTCCCTTCCAGTCACTGTTTCTTGTGTTGCCTTAAATTCAGGATCCACAAGCACTATTTCCAAAAATTCTGGCTGAAAGAGAAAATCAAATTACATCTATTTTCTAATTGCTAACCTAATGTAAGAGACGCTACATCTAAGCGCCGCATCGGAGCTAAGGGGGCAAAACTCCCATACAAGACTGGTGTGCCTCATTTGTCTGTGTTAGTAAGAGCTCCTTCACACAGTTCTCCATAGATTTAATTTACAAAAATCAGGCTTTTCAAATGTTTAATCAGTATATTTTATTCTGAAAAATCATCATTATGTGTATATTCAAATTAGAGGCATGTTAAGTCTGATTTTTTTAGGTTACCGAGAAATACAGTTGAGCCCAACAATCATTCACAAATGAGATGTCTGAATTCCATGTGTACTTCTTACACTGCTGCATGCAAATCAGAATATTCCAAAATACCACGTTTCCTTATTTGTACCACTAATTTGCACACAGAAACTAAGCAGGAATTACAGACTCAAAACAGTGATGTGTGCTCATGTTTACATACACTGTAATTATCACTTAAAGGTACAAAGATGAATGAATTTACTGAGGAGAACAGGATTTGTTTTGCCGACTTCAGCTTGCTGGCAGAGAATAACTGAAATATATGCCAAGCACCTACCTAGAAGGAACTGGGGAATAAGACATCTAACAGTCCTTCAGCAGAACAAGAGTTCACTTAAAAATTTATACATATGGGAAATGTAAGAATTATGTTAAAAGACCTTTGTAGCTGGGTATCTGGACTATATGCGATAGAGTACATTATAAATAAATGCAGAATATTTTACTTTGATTCTCTTTGCCCACACTCGGTCCTCTTAAATATGTTCTATTCTGTGAGCAGGCATACTTTCGAGTAAGACTGACACTTGTCTTCCTGGAAATTGCCAAGTTGCGCAGGTGAAGTTTGCTGGAAACAAAATTTTAAATGTATACAAACAAATTGATGCCAGAAAACACAATTTGCAGAAAACATGCCTTCACATACTGATTATATTTCATAATAAGCAATCTGTTCACTGATGCTACAAGTAAAAATGATTTCATATTTGTCATCTATATTCAGAAAAATGAGATACCCCACTAATGTATATATAGTACATACACCCCCACACCAATTATGTATTTTTTTATACGCCCAGCTCAAGTTGGCTCCATATAAAGAGGAGGAAAAGCCAACCCAGCAACATAGTTGAAAGCTAGTAGGAAGAATAGTTTAGCTGTCCTGAAATTAGTAATGATTCAGCAGGGGAGGAGCGGCAGAGAAGTTGATGAGGAGTTTAGGAATAAAGAAGCTAGCTGCAGAAATGCAAAGCTGTTAGAAAGGGAAATACTCAGGTTTTATTGTGTCAGGCAGATGGGAGAGTAATGATATAAAAACCTCAGAGTTGCAAAGGCAAGGAAGGGCTAAGGTAGAATGAGGAGTGAGCAAAATTATGTGTGCATATGGAAGATTTGCAGCTGTACTGTGTGTGAAGGCTGTCTAATAAAAGACAAGAGTCTGTCCATGTATGGAAAATAAAAATTCACAGCTGCCTAATTATATGAATTCAGATATAGATTCGGTACCTCATTGCTTTGGAATAAAAGGTGGGTATCATTCATAATCTAATCTGGAGCCCAGAACTGAAGACTTTAGCATGATATATATATAATATCATACAGAAAAAGAGATCAGTCCAACGGATTCTGGCTTGTAACTCACTAAAAAATAACAAATGGGCCCTCACTTTTTTATTGCAACTCTTACCTAGAGAAAAGCAGACGACTTAACGCTTCTGAAATAGCCATATGTTCTGATAAAATGCTTATATGTTGGAGGGAGTCATTTTGTTTTCTTTTGAAGATGAGATCAGTTTTCTTTCTGGACAAAGTGAGCCCTCAGGCACTTTACCTACAGTGAGAAGTGGGAAATGCTGGCTCTTTTAAAGTGATTCCTGAGTCAAGAACATCTGCAATTGAATTCCTCTCTTCTCTTTCCTCTCAGTGTGCTACTGCAAACTGCTCCAGACTTGCCTGTTGACAGTTTTACCAATCAGTGTACGTTACCCCTGGGTGCAAGAGAGGTGGGATTCTGCTGAGCCTCTCCTGGTGTTGGCTCCAGGGGCAGTAGCCACATTACAATTCCACAATTATTCCTGTTCATTAGCCCCTCTGATGGGAGTCATTTCTGGCAATAGTTTGGATCTTACTGCAGCAGCTATCACAGGAAAGCCAGCAACATTTTGCTGCTCTGACATGCCTCTGGCATATGCAAGTGACATAGCATATATTATTACATCTAGAAAGGAGAAGCATTCAAAGCTCAGTGTCAGGACATCATATTATACTTAATATCACCATCTCTGCGGATGTTATACAGCAGATTTATAATACCAAAGTTGCAAAAATAGGGAGAATAAAGAGAGTGAGAGAGAGAACACCATTTAAACTAACCTTCAGCACTCTCCAAACCTCTCCATCAAAGGAAGAGTTACTGACTCGCAGTCAGCGGTGACACCAAGCCTGAAGAATCTAATTTTTAGGAAAAAGGTTAAAAGAACTGGCTTAGAAAGGGGAAATCTGGAGCAGAGATATGTGACTTCAGAATTATGGAAACGATCGCTAAGATCGGTGAGTTCCTTTTTTTGCCCAGTGTGTGCTTCAAAAGCCAAGATCTCAGAGTACAAAATGTTTGAAGTGAAAAGCAAATAATAAATTTATGGAGAACATTTCACAGGTAAAAATGAGCCATGCATGTTGGAAACTAGAAAGTCAAGGGAGACAAAAAGCTGACTCAGATGAAAAATGCCTTAGTTTATTGTAGATAACTCCATAAAAACCTGCACAAAAAAATCTCCCAAATGTACTCACAGTCCTGAGAGCTCTTCAGGTGGTCTGTTCCAGCAACAGGCTGAAAATAAGGTAAGAGTTTTAAATTATTGACAACTGCAAGAAACAGATATAAACTGAGAAACTTGGGTAAGGGAAAAATGGGAAAAAAAGATGGGAAAAGTACTTTAATGATGTACTCTTTGTGTACATCAGCACCTCTCCACAGACATCACAGGAGTTATAGCTAGGATCATTTGTTTAAAGCACTGCCCATCACGTTCCAGACAACTGTTTTAGTCTTCCTCTTGAAGCCAAAGGCTGAGTTTTGTTTTGTCAGTTCATATTCTAAAGTCAGACATTCCCTCTGACACTGCCTGAGTGCCTGAGGACCCAGGACACAGCGGCAAGAACAGACCACCATGGTTACAATGGGAAAAAACCCATACCCAAGCTACTGCAGGGCAAAGCTTTGTTAGTTCTTCATCAAAAAGCAGTGCTAAAGAGGGCATTCATATTTTTAATGTTCTTTAAAAGCTTACAAGAATAATCGGCCTCTGTGGTGCTCTGTAGATGTGCTAAGACGTACATGGGCTCTGGATGCCATCCAGGCATATTTATGCTTGCGCTTTTCCAGTGCTTGGTAGCCTTCAGCCTTTGGATCTATGCCATACAGCTCTTCTGAGATTCATATTGCAGGCTTTGTTGAGATAACTGTTTGGTGAAAGATACTTTGTTTAGCTCAAACAAATCTTTTTAAATATGAACTGTTTTATTCACACCAGAAGGTTTTCCACAACTGCCATCTCTATCCTCTGTTAGTACCTTCGGAAATGAAGGTGGCCAGAGCAGGAAGAAGAGAATTGGAAAGCAAGTGAAAGTCCCATTATTTTTGCTAAGTAGCAGCTGATTTTATGAGGCTCAATTACCTGTGATTTTATGAGGCCCATTTTCCACTACCAAATTTTTGAAAGGTGCTCAATATTTCCACTATTAAGCCAGGAGGAACTATGGGGTTTCAGTATAATCCAAACAGAACATAACAGCTGGCTTCAAAACATGCTGCCCAGTGGAAATAAAATGCTGGAAGGAAGAGGAGAGGAGGATAGGGTTGTTGAATTTGAAACTGTCAGCAGAAAATACTGGGATTTCTTTAAAAAGTTCACATTTTTACCTTTGTTCTGATAGGAAAGTCTTACTGAGTCTGACAAATTTGAAGCATATGAAATCATCTACAAAAACTTCTGTGCAGGAGGAGAGAGGCAGAAAGTGAGCTGAGAAAATGTATCTTTTCTGACTTACTTCTTTAATGTGGCAGACTTGTCACAGAGCCAGGTAACAGCGGTATGCCCCATATCAAATCAGTAGGGTACCTGTGCTTGGATACAATCATTTTATAGAACAGTAAAGTGGTAAATAGTTCCCCAGTAAGGCAGATAATCACCAACCTTATTTCAAAATGCTGCCAAAGTGAAGGAAGGTATTGAGGTATTGAGCTCTAAATACATCAGCCAGGGTCAAATGAACTGCAAGTGAGCAGCACTTCAAAGGAAAGCAATAGGAAATGCAAACAATAGCAAAAAACAGATTTGAATGCAGAATTATCTAAACATTACCATAAAACCTCCTGATAGAGGCAAAATAAAGTCAGGCAAAAATCATCAAAATCCAGAACCCTCTCTACAGTTTTTAACTTGTTGGTATGGTTTACATGTCACCAGTTCCCTGGAGCTCACACGCCATTCAAAACCATAATTGTTTCTTTAGACATAGTTTCCATCAACATACATTAAGTCACCCAGTGAGCAAACGTAAACCATACTTAGGTGGCAAATCATTGATCTCAAGTAGTCAAGGATCATCCTTTATGGTTATCCCCATTCCTAAAATGCGTATCAAATACATGTATTTCACAGAATAATGAAAAAAAAATCTATACAAATTCTAATCTACCTGAAAAAAAAACAATTTGCTTTAACTAGGCCAAACAAAATATGAAAATTGTTCCCATCAAATATTTTTATAAGCTCTAAGTGTGAAGCAAAAGTAGCTCTGTTCAAGCCTTCTGAAGAGAATTAGAGAGAATGAATGTGAAAAAGCACATAGAGTACAATTTAAAGAAGCACCAAGCAAATCATGACCAGAGCATATCTATAAAACCTTGGCAGTTGACCTTCACTGGGTGAGAATGGTGAGTGGTTTGGAGAATTAGCATTTCATCAAGTGGTATATTTTTACCCTTATCAAAATATGACCCAGCGCTTCAGGTAAAAACTGATCATGCGAGGTTTGTCCATTTGCCTGCTCTCAGTGAGCGTGAAAAAAAATTGTATTCCTAAATGAACTGTGATCTCTGCCGACTTTGATTACTTCAGATATATTTCTGTAACTGCTAAGGGGAAGAAAATCAGAAATAAAAGTGCTCTAAACCTTTAATACCTTTTCTTTTGCTGAGAGTCTATCCTGCCCCTCCCATTAGCTTATTCTGCTATGCCAAACCTCTCTTACAAAATTCCCCAATTTTGGCCAATTGGCTCAAGCGCTCCCCTAATATGCTCTTGCAATTGTAAGCACTCAGGGGTTCCACTAAAAGGGTGGCTGGATGCAGCTTCAGGACTAATTGTATCCTATGAGTTATAGAATTATGCACCAACAGCTAAAAGGACACAATTACAAGGTGGACTATTGTGACACACACTGTGTAATGTCATACAATCAAATGCAATGTTTAGTAAACATGAACTTCTTTGTCATTTTGTATTTATTTATACAGGTTTAAAAAAAAAATAAAGCACACATTTAAAAATATCCCTTTCTCCGTTGTGTCTCTGCATCATTATGCAACTTCAGATGGGTAGGCAATGACTCGGTCAGTGCTTGGGGGAACTAGGTGATGAGTAGCGAAGAATATGCAGTGCTTGTTTGATTGAATTACACCTGCAAACAGAGGGCTACAGCCTTTCAGAGAGAGTGGGAGAGAAAAGGAACAACTTACCAGGGGTTAGCTAGGTGGGAAAATCAAATTTCTGCAGAAGTAGGAGCCTTAACTAGGTCAGGGCTTAAAGGATTGCGTTTTTCCAGCAATGTGTTTACTGCCCATTGTGCCAGTAATGAACTGCCAAAGGGTTTCTAATGTCTGGGCTCTCTTCTTGGCTGCAAAGCTGGAGGGAAAAGGGGAAAAAGTCTTCCAAGTGTGGCTGGAGATCAAGTGAAGCTCCAGCATGCCCTAAAAACAGGGAGGTAACGCTCAGCTCTGGAGAAAACCAGGCTCCTGCCAGTTTGCCCAAGGATCCACAGATCGTCCCACCAAGTCTCCATAACATGCAAAGGCACTGCTCTGCAGACCTCCAGCAGGACTGTCTCCTTCTTCTCTGGGAGTGACGATGCACATTTCCAGACAGCTCTGTCTTTCTTCAGAGAAGGATTTTCCTAGCACCTTGCCTTCCCACACTGTCATCCTCCTTCTCTCTCCTCCTTTATTCTCATCCTTGTTTAGCTCACAGAAGATACTCTGGTGCAAAAAGGTGATCTCAGCCCATTCGTCTCCAGTCTAAGCCAACACAACTTCCACTGGCAAAGGAAAGCAATCTGTAACTCTGGCAATATGAGCAACTTTCTGCTTTCCTCACTTAACCATAGTAACAGAGAAAGATGATCTAACCACTGATATCCAAAAGTAAAATGAGTGCTAGAATTAAATCATATGTAGAGGGCTTATGTCATTATTTTTTCCAGTGGTTGCAGAATCATAGTCTTTTTTTGTCGTAGCAGTCTTGGTCTGTGCTTTGTACATGAAGCAATTAGAGTGTCAAATGACACTATTTGGGGGGAAAGGTGGGGCAGTGATTATGAGATTTAATTGTCTTCAAATCCCAGAATCAATGTGACACAATAGGAATTCTCATGTCAAATTTCAACTCCATCTCTGTACTCTCTATCACTACACATTTGCACTGTATATGTGTGTATGTATATATTTTGCATGCTCAATGTTATCCTTAGCAGACATGAGAAAGGGCAATCCCACATGGGCTGTCCAGGGCCAGCTCTATTCTACTTTTTCACTACAAATAGCATAGATAGTGTAAGGGTAAGATAAAATATTATCTAAGTCAGGAAGGACTGCAGAATTGCAAAAGTTGAGAACAGAAGTCAAAATGCACTTGACCCATTGGAACAATGATGTGAAATCAACAATAAGAAATTTGGAAAAAGGCAAATCATTAGGAGAAAGAGAAATCAGTGGTGCAGACACAAGATGTAGAAAAACTGGTTAAACAGCAACTCTGCAGAAGAGTATCTGAGGTTGCACTGGGTCACTGCTCCACCATGAGTAAAACCTGGCAATGCTACAAAGCCACCACACCTAATTTTTACCCAACTTGTTAAAAGAATAACATACAGAAGAAGATATGGAAGACATATTCTTTTTCCTGTTCTCCTTGGAGCTGATGATTCTTCAGCTGAACATTGTGGGCATGATGCTTGGAGAGAGCACTGAATTGAATGAGAATAAGGAACCAGGAAAATGCACCTGCTGCAGGAAAGCCTACTTAAATCTAGGAGAGGTGAATTTGGGGAGAACCACAGTAACCCTTTTCTGTATGAAAATAATACATAAGGACAGGTATCAAATGTTTCTTGTGTCCCCTGAAGGTGGGACAAGACAAAATCAGCTTAACTTGCAGCAAATATAATTTAATTTGCATACCCTGATTCCAAGAATAGGCATGCACTGGGAATATGCTGCCTAGGCTTTCTGTGGAGCCATCTTTAGCAGGTTTTAAAGAACAGGTTACACAAAAAAAAAAAAAAAAAAAAAAAAAAAAGCTTGAAACAACCTAGATACTGATTCAGCCCTTTTTCTACAAGAATCCAGGTTTTTCCAACTCAAATATGGTATAGCGATTTAGGTTGCCCCAAGATGTCCATTTAAATTGGCTCAGATTGGGTATTCAGAAACAGAGGTACCTAGAATTTCTTGGCGTATTACTTAATGGAAAAGCTGGATTCTTGGCCTCTACATGCTGGGATGTGTTCGAAAAAAATGAGAGATTTATGTATCTGTAGCTAATACTTTTAAGTATGGCAATCTAAAAATTTGTAGCAATTTAGCCATAAGTAAGCGGAAAAAATGTGATGTCTTCAACTGTTTTCTGATGCACTTCAATATGTAGCTGTGAAATTCAAGCTATTTGGCTCACAGGAAAATCTCTGCCATAAAACATTCAGTACGGATGGTCCAGGAAGAACAGAGCAAGAGCAGAAGAGACAAATTCATTTGCTGGATAGTCAATCATTTGAAGTTTAGGAGAAGAGAAATACCAGGCTAAAGACTTTCTTAATTTCTTTCTTGCAAATCAGTCTTTCGGTGTTTAATGAGTTCCTATCAGCCTATGCAAATAATTCACAATGAATAATTTATCTGATGATTTTTTTCTGTTTGTGGGATATCTAAAAGCAAATTGGTTTCCTCTCACATATTCATTATTCAAAATTATGTTAGCACAGCTTCAGGTGAGTGTGTTTTCACTGCAGTTGCTTTGGTCCACATTTGAGTATTCATACCACCTGCCTCAGGGAAGTGTCCCACCAGATTCCTTTTATCCTCGGTGCAAAGATTCCTTTCTGCTTTCAACAGACTCTGCAGGATCTCTCTCTCCACTGATGCAGTGTAGGGTGCTAACCTCCTAATTTGAGTATCTGAATTAGATGTGAGCATCTGGATTAAGTAGGTCAGTGGGAATTACTGCCAGAGCCAAACTAGGGACCCTTTTGGGGTCCCACTTTCTAAATTAGCTGGCTAAAGAGAAGCAAGATTAACCAGAGAAATAGAAGAAGCACTCCTCCAGGCATCCCATTTCTGCCTTTTATGTCCCCTATATCTTCCATAGTTTTGGCTGAGCTGTTCTCCTTCACCATGATCACAGAGCCATAGAATCACTTAGGCTGGAAAAAACCTTTAAGATGATTGAGTCCAACAGTGTATTTTATATATGCTTACACTTGTTTTGCACACAAGTGGTAGGAAAAGGATTATGACCTTAGTCTCAAATCTCATTTTAATAGTTCCTACCTAGAAGAAACTACAACTGTACTGGATGTGTCCCCCATTTCTGATCAACAAGGATGGTAGGGTATAGTACATGGATCAACAGGAACAACTCTCATTCTGCTTCTTGGAACAAAGAATTAATGCATGTATTGAGAGCTTTCAATTCACCTCTGTCATGAAATTTTAGGATGCCAGACAGACCAGCTAACACAGCAGGCATTGTTTCTGTCATGTAACACACTGAGGATGCCAAATGATGTCAGAGAACTGTCAAGGTCCTTCACTAAGCAAATTTTGAAGAGAAAGGAAAGCTTAAACAGGACTACAGTTATTTTTCCAGATGCACTCAGGTCTTTAGATGATTGCATGACAGGGAGATAGTTTTCTGAATTTCCCTGTGACTTCAATGGAGACAATTAAGGGGGTCAGTAAACACTATGAAGTGTTTGTGTTGCAAGCAGCACTTGATAGCAAGACCAACTGCATTAGATGTTTAATGTGTCCAACTCCATCAAAAGCAGTCTTTAAGCATGTCTTTTTATAATGTTTTCAGAATGGAGAATATCATATGCAGCACAGCATTCAGTTTTACAGAATCATCCTCCCTCACAAGCCCACCTCATACTTCCTCTTTCACCATTTCAAACTGCTAGAGAAAGTCATTCAAAGTTATCAAGAGCACATCTATTCACAAATGGAAAGGCTGATTACTGCAAAAGACAGTCCATCTAAAACTGTTGACTGTTTGTGGCTCACCTATTAATGTAAAAGTGGGAGAGCTTAAACAGTGGAAATAAAAAGGAGCAAATAGAAGAACAGAAAGCATGGAAAGAAAGAAAGGAGATTAACAGAATAGGGGGAAAGAGAAGCAAAGAAATAAATGCAACGGGGGGGGGAAGAAAAAAAGAAAAAAAAATAAACCTTAGTGATGCCCTCAGTAAAAAGGATAAAACAGTGGATAAAAAAAAATCTGTAAAATGTGGGGATGATATCAGATCTTAATAATTCTGAGAAAACAGAAAGTGTTGTCAAAATCCCAGTAATTGAATTTTCTCATTGAAAAGCCAGTGACAGCTTTGCTTAAATGCTTAGCCACATAAAATCAAACTGCATGTCTCTGAGTGTGTGTGTTTCCCAATAAAGTCAGCAAGAATCAATAGCAAGAGCAGCATTCAGATCTATGTTATTTTCATTGCAGAAAATGTAAACACAATACTCCTTCCATACCTGCACCAGTTTTCTGTCTCTTTGTAGTTTCTAACACACTCCTAATATATGTCTATCTCAAAACCACTCTTGTTAGCCTTCCTCTATTGATGGCTTCCAGCTGAAGAGAAGCCAGAAATGGAGAGCTCACATATTGTCTGTTCTTAATAAATAATCATTAAAAGATAGATCGGCAGCACCGCAGCATTCTCCAACACTTAGTCTATTTGCCTTGAGTCAGCTGCTCTGTACTTTTTCCCTATTCTTGCATAATTGATACTACTTCTTGCATAATACCTTTTTTTCTGCACAAGGTTTGCTCTTATCTGAAAAATATTGTAAACTCATTCAAATTTCATGAATCCACACTGGGCCTAATGCAAACTAGCAAAGAAGTGATACAGGAAAATCAAATAAATGGTAAACTGACACCTCTCCATTACCCATCAATAGTTCTTCTGCTATTTCTTTTAACTGCTACCCAGGCCTCTCTAGCCTCCTCTTTGCAAAGGATGCTGAAAAATTTATGAGTAGCCAAAACTTGATA